AGTCAAAGGCTCCTGTCCGACGCATGGGGTTCGTTCTCAGCCCTGCAGCAGCAGCACACACCCAACTTCCAGAGATGGTCCTCTCCTCACTGGGGCCTGTGCTGCGCCTGTGCCCAGGGGTGGGTATTGGTGCCATCGTCCCACAGCTGCCTCCATCACCCCGCAGAGCTGAGCCCCAGCACCCCCACGAGATGGAAATCCAGCTGTGCCCAGTGAGACATTCGCCCTGTGGGAAAAAGCCACTCTGTGCCATTCAGACAGTGACGGTTTTTTAATAAATACCTTTTTTTTCGCACAGAAATATACCAAGTTTTACAGAATACAAACTGCAGGAATAACGACCGAGCATCAAAGACAGAGGATCCAGCGCGCCCTTCTGTCTCCCTCTGGTCTTTTCCAGGCTCTGACCCCAACGCTCACTGCCAGGTCTTCCCATAGCCCCAATTTGCTAAGGCCAAAAGGCAGAGGAAAGGCCTGGGAGGGGACAGAGAAGGTGCCAGCAGCTGCAAACTCGTGTCCTGCCCCAGAAACAGCCACGCTGGGCAAGCCTGAGCTCTGGGCTGAGGGCACCTGCTGTGAGAGCATCACTGGGACCAAACAGGGTGCAGGCAGCCAATGGATGTACAATAGCCTTTTGGTGCTGGTGGAGAGACTGGTGCTGGGGTGAACACTGAAGGGTGGCAGTGCAGGGAGTTTCTGGGCTAATTCTGGGGGGCTGGTGAGCACAACCCTCTTTTTAACCCATCAGACATGACTGGGAAACAACAGCCCCATTGCTGGGACCCCAAAAGCAGCTGCCCAGGAAAAGAGGACACACTGGTCTCACAGCAAAGCACCTGGAGCTGCACTGCCCTGGCACCACCACAAGCCGGTGGTCAGGCACAACAGGGTTTGGCCCTACTCCTGACCCACTGGCATCACCAGGTCATGGCATGATCAGTCAGCTCTCACCTCTGCAGCCACCTCTGTCAGCAGGTCCTCCATGCCATGGCTGTGGCCACCAAGTACTCTGCCCACCAGAGGGTACTTGAGGAGAGTGGGGTCTCGCATTCCCCTTTACCTGCTCTGGAGGACAAAGAGCCCCAGAGAGAGGGGACAGGCAGGATGGAGAGGTTTGGGGTCAGGAGAGGGGATGTTTGGCCCATCCACGGTCTCCCTGTGCCAGCATCCCACCTCTGGGGCAGACACCAGCCGGGCCATGCTCAAGGAAGGAAGAGCATCCCACCGCTTAAAGCCAAGGGACTACCTTTGGCTCAAGGTCAGAGATGACTCCATCAGTCAGCTCTGCCGCAGCCAGACCTCCAGCTACCTGGCATTCTGCAGGAGGAAAGCAGAGAGCATCAGGAAAAGGACCTGCTACTCCAAAGTCACTTACCTCACGTACAAGACCACCACGAGCCTTTCCCACTTTCCAAAAGGATCCAGGAGATCAGAGAGCACCTCTGCTCCTCCCCGATCTCCGGACAGCAAATATCGCTACAGGCACCAGAGGATGGACCGGGCTGCCCACTCCTACCTGGCAGCAAATCCACACAAGGCAGGCAATTTCTCCCCACACACAGTCTGGACACCGACTGTGGGGATGGGCAGAAATTCACTGCATCCCTCCTGCATCCTCAACTCCTAATCAGAGCCCTGAGAAGCAAAACAGGGCCTGGTGAGGACATGGGGTAAGGCTGAGCAGCGTCCCAGGGAGGCAGCAAGGCTGTTTTAATCATGGGAAATGTTATGTCTATTCAAGGGGGAACTGAGGAAATCAAATGCACCATGGGGAGACCCCACATTGAGCCAGGAACAAGCTGTCGCACTGCTCTGGCTGCTACAGCACTTATGTGAGCAGGGAGTGAGGGGCAGGAGATGGCTGGCTGGCTCCAGAGCCATCCCCGCAGCCCAGCCTCGCCCCACTTGGGGACAAATATTTTTGGTTAGGAGGGTAAGGCTATTGCGTGATGGCACCAGCTTGTACAGGTGAGACAGAGTGCTGACTGGCATCTGAAGGGGGTCCCGGGCACGGTGAAGAAAGGGTAGGTGGGTGAGCGTTGAGTGTGTGAAGAGACAGGAGGGAGGCAGACCCACTATTTGCCTGGGGCAGGGGCAGCGGCCACTATCTCTTCATACTTGGGTGGTGGGTCATTGTAGGAGATGCTGGTCTCTTCGCCGCTGCTGCTCTCTGGGTGGCCCGTCACCTCCTCATAGGAAGGCGGAGGGGTGGCATTGGACAGTCTGGAGAGGACGGAGACCGAATGCTCTGGCGGGTAGAGGGTGTCGTCTTGCTGGGGTGTCCTCCCAGCTCTGCCGTCTCCAGCCACCCGGTTGCTCACTTCTCGCTGATACTGGGTTTCCCCTTGGCTTTGTGACCGCTCCCGGTACACCATGACCCTGGGGAGGCTGCATCCCGTTCGGCTGGCCAGGTAACGGTTCTGGGCATAGGAAGGGCGGTGGTGGGTGGCCTTATGAAGCTGGCACCTCCAGATGATGAATAGGGCGATGACTATCAGAAGAGCCACTCCTAAGAGGGGCACCACCACATACATAGCGTCTGAGCGCTCCGTGCTGTGCCCCGGGTCCTTGACAGAGTAGACAGAGTTGGTGTAGCCCTTCCAAAACTCCATCTGTAGCAGGAATAGAGACGCAACCATCATGTGCTGCAGGTGGGACACCACCACCAGCAATAATCACTGTCCTCCCCAGGCCCACAAGAGAGGCAGTCTTTCGGCCATCCCCCCCCACTCTCACTGAGGCTGGCAGCATCTGAGGTGCTGTGGGAACCAACAAAAAACATCATGGGAACGTCCCTCAACAGCAGCCAACAGCCCCAACACCAAGCAGGGAGAAATTTGGCTAACACCAACCCCAGCCTGGAGAGTTGGGGACAACAGCACAAATTTCCCACACATGCCATGGGAGTGCCAGATTGACCTGCAGCTGCAGGCAGGGTGTCCTGCCAATGCAAAGGGGAGGGCTTTGCTTGGGAAAGGAAAGCCATGCTGGAAAGCGAGACCACAGCATGCTGCCTGCAGACAGAAGAGGACAAAGGGAACAGGAGAGGCTGTTCCCTCTGTGCTTTCCTTCTCTGCCCCAGGATTGCTAAGGCGTAAGCCCTCGCGCATCCACTGGGGAGCAGGGCAGGAAAAACGCACCGTCTTCTCCTTGTTCTCGAACACTTCCTTGACCTCTTCATAGCTGCAGACCTCCTCAATGCACTCCCGCTCGATGGTGCCCTGCCGGATCTCCTCCAGGAAGCCGTTGGCTCTGGGAAAGCGCTTCAGGACCGAG